TCTGCGACCCAAATTTTTTTGTTTGTTGAATAATTACATAATTACAATTTTGCCATTAATGAAACAGGTCATCGAACCGGGTCGTGTGCGGATCCGCGTGTCTGCAGTCGGATCTAGTTACAAAAATGTCTGAAATTGATATGATAATTACTGAAATTGCCACTGCATATATCCAAAATTACCCTTTTCAATTGAATTTCTTTAGTTTAAAAACAATGGCAATTTCAGTAATATTAGAATGAATTTTGGACATTTTGCTAAATGTACTTCTCTTTTAATATTATAGAGATGTGATATTATTTTAAATGGACAATGGTAGTAATGTGTGCATTGATCATTAGACGGTTCGGTTCTGGTTACATTTTCTATATACTGATTCAAATAACTACTTTAGGGAACTTTTCTAATGTGCATTGATTTGGCTATTTTAATTCAGTCTCCATTGATTTGGTATTCTTTGATCCAACTCATATGCTTCTATGACAACATATAGTCGTGTTCCTGAATTAACTTGAAATATTAGCTAATTCGAATAATAATCAGAGCAAAGAATCAATGGATCGAGTGAAAAACATGGGAATGGTTTTATATAATCCCAGGCAGTCTCCTCTTTCCATTGTCTCTCACGGCTCTGTTTCTCTGGTTTAGTACTTTGGTCCACCACTTTCCAAGATGCTCAATCCAATACTTTTACATTCCTGCCCTCAACAAATCTCTCAATTCACCAGACAATACCACTCTCAGTTTCATGATCGGTCTCAAAAACATTAACATTAGACAAGGAATCTACTACGATGATGTCTACTTATCTTTCTCCAATAGCTTCAACAAATCTCCTCTCCTCATGGCTAACTACACAATACCAAGATCCTATCAAGGACACGAGAAGAGAGCCAAGAAATGGGGACAGGCTCAGCCTTTTGACAACCAGACGGTTTTTCGGGCGGTTTTGCCTAGTGGTTGGATTTGTGCTCTGTTTTTCGGGCAGTTTTTCGGTTGGATTTGAAGACGCAATTGAAGTACAAGTTTATGTTTTGGAAAACAAGGACGTATAGATTCGAGGCTAGTGTGAATCTTGAAGTCAACGAAGATGGAGCCACTAAAGTCAAAGACAAATTGGATGGGATTAAGATGAAGAAATCGGATTCTTCTACGCGATTAACCTCTTTATACCTTTGTGTTTTGATGAATTTGATCGTCTTCTTGGCTATTCGTTAACTGATTCAATGAT